GGGCTAGTCTCTCTGTTCCAATGGGGGGAGGTATCTTTCGATCCTGACTGGCACCGCCTCCTTTTGGTTGGCCCAATGTAGGTGGGGCAGAAGTGGCTGAAAGAGGTGAAGATGATCCCGAAGAAACAGATGGAATAGGAGAGTCACATGAGTTTGAAGCACTTGTCCAAGGATGGGGAGAAAAATGTTGTCGGCTGAAACTGGGTGTCCCAACAGGAGCTGGTCCTTGCAGGAAAACGCGTGTTCCGGGTATGTTGGAAAAACTTGTGAGAGGAGTAGAAGAGGAAGATGAGGAGCTTCCTAATGGATCAATGGATGGTATCCCAACAGGACTAGTAGAAACTCTCTGAGAAGGTGGTCTAAAGCCAGGTGCCTTGGAGTTGTGAGGGTGTACATTTTCCAAGTGTCCAAGTACAGAGTTACCCAGGAATGCTGACTGAACAGTAAAAGAGGCATCTGCAGCAATTCGAGAGGACAGGGGACCATCTCCCCAACCCTGGTTAGCTGGCACCTGACTGCTATCAAAAAGACTGCTGAAGCGATTGAAAAGTGTAGTGGGGCCAAATGTAGGTGGCAAAGATTTATTTGCTGGGTTAAAGTGCATCTGAGAGCCATTCATAATGTTCATGGCTGAAGAAAGCTGCACTGCAGCTGGCGGGCCTTGAGGTGGTGTTAAAGGTACTGAATTTGTAACAAAAATAGACTGAGGATCTTGGTGTATAGTTGCATTTGGTACCACTGAGTAAAAAGAACCTCTGGGCTGCATTCGATGAGAAACTCGAGGTGCTGGTACAGCTAACTGAGGTAAATTACTTGCGTCCTGATTATCAGCAGCAACCAATCTGGGTGATGCCAATGTCAATGGAGTAGACTCTGAGTTAGATGCAAAAGGCATTGATATAGGACTTAAATCAGACCTGCTGGATGGTTGTGTCTCCTCTTGTGTGCTATTGGAGGGAGGAGTAGGACTACTGGATGAGTTAGTTTCTGCGGCTCCTGGGGTGTTGCTGGCAGAATTATTACAACTATTTGCAGTTGAAGATGGGGTACACAGGAGTTAGTTCTTTGATTCTGCCTCATGACAACAACATGTACTGTATATTGGATCTACTCACAGGATTTTCTGATTATAAATTTTTACAGAAACAGTTTAGAATTCTTTCTTCTGCAATTTGACTGCATATGTTCAAACTCTCAACCTTTAGGTTAGTTGTTGTTTTTATGTGCCATCGAATTACCTGAAATCCATCATGACCCTATGGATAGGAGACCTGAACTCTTCCTTGTCCTCACACACCAACTCTCATTGTCTCAGTCACTGTATCAATCCAGCTCATCTGGGGTCTTCCTTTCCTGCACTGTCCCTCCATCCTCCCAAGCATGATGTCATTCTCCAAGGACCAGTCTCTCTTGGCCATCTGCCCTAAGTATGTGAGAAAGAGTTTCAAAATCCTAGCCTCCAAACAGAGTCTTGGTTTCACCATCTCCAAGACAGACAGATTTGCTTTCTTGGCAGTCCAAGGTATGCTCAAGATTCATCTCTAGCACCACAACTCAGAGACATTGTTTCTTCTTCTGTCGTCCTTAGTCATTGTCCAGCTGAGACCAAAACCATTTGTACCACTCGCTACTAGCTTCATGGAAGATTCAGTAGTTTGTTCTTTTTTTAAAGCATATTTTATACACTGTGTTTCATTTATGTACATTGATCTTGAAGATATTTAAGAGTCCACTGTCATTTCAGACTACCTGCAATAAGGCAAGTTGTCCAAGGTGAAGGAAAACATAGTAAATAGTGGCTTTAGTATATTTTATTATTTTATTTTTATCTAGATTGGTTTTTGTTGTTGTTGTCTTTAATTCAAAACAAATGCTACACCCAACAAGAGGGGTTTTTTTCCCCACTTCAAATTAAAATGACATTATCACTAGGCATAACAGCTCCAATATATTTTAAATATGCTCCTACTCACTGTATTGAGGTTCTTTTATAAGGGGCATTTTAAAAAATTTTTATACATTGTGTTTTGTACATTTTAAAATTTACATTGTATTTCATATCATCATTCCCATGCATTATGTTTCATGAAATTAATCACCACTGATCTATGCCCATTTTGCAATATATTAAGCCCAAATTACTCATATAACACAATAGAAAGTGGTCAATATAAAGTGCTGGGCAATGCTGAAAAGGTGGGAGAAATAACTAATGCAATCAACTCTTTAAAAAAAACTAAATAGTCCAAAGTAGATTTTTTTACATCCTTCCTTTCCTGTAATAAATGGCAGTGCTGGCATCTGACACCCAGATTCAGTTTTTATCCTGATCATTTACAAAGTGTTCCACCAAGGTTACAGGTCAGAGTTCATTTACCTTGGAAAAAAACGTACAACTTATCCTTCCTCTTCTTGCCTTCATGTTCATGATTCTTAGGACAGCTACAATCTGAGAATCTTTCAGAGACACTTTCTAAGAATTTGTCCAATTAAAAGGAGATATTCAAATTGAGCAGGTCCATTTTGGCTTTCTCTGTCTATGGACTGAACCAGAAAACTCCTTCTCAGAAAACAAGTCTGTTTGAGCTCCTAGGTCATCACTTTGAGCTGTGGTAGCCTAATGGCAAGAAGCTGCATGTTGCATCCCAAAGGCACATGGTTTGAATCCACCGGCTGTTTGGAAGGATAGACAATCTCCTTCTGTGCAATTAACTGCCTCTGAAAACTCACAAGAGGGTCAGCTATAAGTCGGTTCTGACTCAACGGTACACAACAACAACAAGCAATCACCATATATGCCCTTGCCCAAATTTTACTGGCTCTAACACATACTCAAGACCATATGTTGACCACCTCTGCACACCAGATAATAAATATTATCAATTTCATTTTCACCAGAAAACCCACTGTCCATATACTTGATTGGTTGAAAAGTCTTTGGTCATACTGAACAGGAGCCATGAATTCACTGTTACCTCTATTTTAATTTCTCTGCATTTCGACTTCTTATCAGGAGCTGTCCCGGACGGATTCTGATTGTGCTGTCTTTCTTTCTGCCAACCATGCTGAATCTCATCCTTTTCATGAGTCTCACATCTTCTTCTTCTGCATGAGTTTTGTTACAGCTCTCCCCTTCCTGACTTAATGGGCGATTTCTCTAAATGTTTCTTCATGTTTCTCCTGTGGTGGGTTTGTTTGTTTGTTTGTTTGTTTGTTTATTTGTTTGTTTTGAGACACCTTTCCCTCTATTTAGGCATGCATTTCTACAGTTTCATGAGACCTCTGATCAGCAGTATAGAGGACTTCAGCAAGCTTTGTACAATTTTAACTTACGTGAACTGTCTCTAGTCCTCTTTGATCAGCAGCTAGTTAATCTAATGGAATTGTATAACTCTTTGCACTTTTACCAGTTTGAAATACACTGGGGAAACTTCCACTCTTATTGTTCTTTTGCTGTCATCTTTTGGCTAGGATAATGCATGGTAGCGGCTGGAGGAGATGGTCCCAGGGAATATTATAATCTTAAATCTTGGAGGTTCTATTGGATCTTTCTGCTTTCCTACCATTGGACTAACTCTCTGCTCAGTTCTAGAATTGAAAGTCATTTGTTGTTGAGATGATATGTACCTAATGTTCTGAGCAGTTTGCCAGCTGCTCAAACTGACAGGGCTGCAGCAACCTTCTGTGATACAGATTTTTCTAACACTACTCTTGCTTTTCTATTACCTCTTTAATAGTTTTTTATCAGGTGTAAGTTACCTGTGTTCTTAGCTTTCTTGGCAACCAGGACAGTGTTGTTGTTGTTGTTGTTGTTGTTATGTGCCGTCAAGTCATTTGTGACTCATAGAGACCCTATGTACAACAGCCCTAAACCCTGCTCTCTCCTGTGCCAATCACATTGCCTCTGACACACCCATCCCGATTACCCCAGTCATTGTATCAATCCACTTCATACAGGGTCTTCCCCACCTGCGCCGTCCCTCCAACCTACCAAGCATGATGTCCCTCTCCAAGGACTGATCCCTCCTCACAACATGTCCAAAGTATGTCAGGTGAAGCCCCAGAATACTTGCCTCCAAGGAGCAGCCTGGTTTAATCCTCTCTACAATGAATATGTTTGTTTTCTTGGCACTCCAGGGTACATTCAATACTCTTCTCCAGCACCACGACTCAAAGACATCAATCCTCCTTCTATCCTCCCTAGTCATTGTCCAACTCTCTGATGCATAACAAGTGATTGCAAAGACCATGGCCTGTATCAGGAGCACCTTCGTCTCCAGAGAGACAGCGTTGCTCCTGAGTACTTTAGAGAGGTCCCTAACAGCAGACTTTCCCATTGCAATACATTTTTTTTAATTTCCTGGCTGCTGGTATCAAGAGTGTTGACCGTGGAGCAGAGCAAACTGAGGCTGTGAACAAACTCAGTCTCTTCGCCATCCATCCCAATGCTACCGATTGGTCCAGTGGTGAGAATCTTTGTCTTCTTGACATTGAGCCTCAGTCCATACTGTTCAAGGCCTCAAACCTGTTCCTGAGATGATTCTAAAATTCAGGTGGGATTAAATCAAACCTTGTCTTTTGACAAGATCTTTTTTGAGTAATTGTTGTTGTTGTTATGTGCCATCGAGTCGTTTCAGACTCATAGCGACCCTATGCACAACAGCTCTAAACCCTGCTCTATCCTGCGCCAACTGCACCGCCTCTGACACACCCATCCCGATTACCCCAGTCACCGAATCAGTCCATCTCATAGAGGGTCTTCCCCTCCTGCGCTGTCCCTCCACCCTCCCAAGCATGATGTCCCTCTCCAAGGACCCGTCCCTCCTGGCAACATGTCCAAAGTATGTCAGACGAAGCCCCAGAATCCTTGCCTCCAAGGAGCAGCTTTGTTTAATCCTCTCCAAGATGGATCTGTTTGTTTTCCTGGCAGTCCATGGTACATTCAGTACCCTTCTCCAGCACCACAGCTCAAAAGCATCCACTCTCCTTCTGTCCTCCCTAGTCATTGTCCAACTCTCTGATGCATAACAAGCGATTGCAAAGACCATGACCTGTATCAGGTGCACCTTAGTCTCCAGAGAGACACTGTTGCTCCTGAGTACGTTTGAGAGGTCCCTAACGGCAGACTTTCCCATTACGATACGCTTTTTTATTTCCTGACTGCTGGTACCAAGAGTGTTAACTGTGGAGCCGAGCAAAGTGAAGCTGTGAACACTCTCAATCTCTTCATCATCCATCCTGACGCTGCCAATTGGTCCAGTGGCGAGAATCTTTGTCTTCTTGACGTTGAGCCTTAGTCCATACTGAAGGCTGCAGTACTTGACCCTTCACAGCAAGTACATGAGGTCCTCCTCAGTTTCAGCAAGCAGGGTTGTGTCATCTGCATAACGGAGATTGTTGATAGATCTTCCACCAATCCTGATGCATCATTCTTAATTTTTCTTCAGCAACTACCTGAATACATCCAATGCATTGGATTCCCCCCCCCCTTTTGTCTCAGATCCAGTGGCTGTTGGGCCACATGAATATCTGAAAAGGCACACCCATCTCCAAAATTCTCTCATAACTGAGGTATTCGGCCTTTTCAGTACCCTGAAGGCAGAAGTTCTCTTCTGGAAGAGACATATGGGGTCTGCTGTGATTTCTCTGTGATCTTGCTTTTTCTTCAGCTTCAAGTTGGTCCTGAGATAATTGCGTTAGTGCAAGTAAAAATAAAATTGGAAGCAGTGTCTTCTTTTGCTTCTTCCAGTGTAACAGACTACATTTTTCATGTTAAAATTTCATCCTTGAAAGACAATATAATTTCTCTATACACACAGTAACATGAGTGTCCAGATGAATTTTAGGGCTGGTGCAAAAGTAAGATGCGTTGTATACCATCACTAAATTCTTTGTAGCATAGCTATAGACAATGTTGTTGTTATGTGCCTTCAAATTGACCCTGCAATGGAACATCAAACAGCAAATCACATGACAGGAGATTGCCCTTCTTTCCTTTTAGGAGCAGCTGGTGGATTCAAACCACTTATCTTAGGGTTGGCAACACAA